GCCCGATTTAACGAGTTTAATTTTCTATTCAGGTATATTTGGTTGGTAATATTATTAATTGTTGGAGCATAATTAGGGTAAAAAAATGTTACTTTCTTCATCTCATTTTTATAATTTATATTTAATTAAATTAAAATGTAACAACAAAGTGAACGATTATAGAAGAACAGAAGGAGTGATTGATAATTGGGCTGGACTTTCATCATTTTCTTCATACGTGCAGCTAAATAACTATCATCAAGATAGAAGATTCTTGATTAGTATCTGAAACCAACCCGTCCTTATCTGATTAATTAACTACATTTCCTCTTTCGTATATTTCAGTAGCATCAATATATATATATATATATATATATATATCACCAAGATATCAAGTTTATTTATTTGTTCGTCGGATAGATTTCAACCAAAAAGTTTTGAGGGGGGTTTTTTTTTCATTGTAGTGGATTTGGGATGTCATTTGGTGTTTTGAGTCTGACAAAAAGTTAATGTACAAACTTTGATCTTAATCTTAATGACAGTGTTTTAGATCATTAGATAATTAGCTTTGTCCGGAAGTTAGAAAACGTATTAATAACAGTGTTTTTTTTAAGTATTTTGTTAAAAATCTTCTCATTTGAGTTTCAATTGAATGCTCAGATACAAATATGCTTTTGTAGTTCTGGGATTGTTTGACATTTGCACGGCTTACATACACGTGGATCTGGGTCTTCCAGGATGGCCCTCCCTCCCGAAACCACTAGGGCAACTCTCAATTTCCCGTGCATCAAGTTTGAACTTTGAAGGAATCACCAAAATCTTATGTAAGCTAACACATGATGTATGCATCTTCTCTTTGGTTTTATGAAGCAGTCAATAAGCATTACAACAAGTTTATACACTTCTGAAATATAAATTATAAAAATGAGATGAACAAAGTAATATTTTTTACCTGAATTATGCTCCAACAATTAATTTTATTACCAACCAAATATACCATAATATAAAAATCAGGCGAGCCTCGCGCGTATTAAAAATATTTAAATGTAAGACAAAAGTTACAAAAATATGAACATTTTTATATCCTTAATAGTAAACAAATGTATCTTTAAGTAATATTAAAAAACTGCAAAGCGATTTTTTTTATAAAAAAATTATATTATCAACAATAAATGTTAGTGCAAAATTATTGCCGAAGAAGAAAAATATCCAAACTACAATTGCCATAGTTATGGTAAATTTTGTAAATTGCAAATTGAAGATGGTGTACATCATATTCAAGTCTGTAGAAATATTAATGGAATAAACTTAGAAAGCTCACTCGAATAGTGAGAGGCAGTACCTAATTTCATATTAATATCTCTAATTGGCCAATTTCTCTATCCGGTAAATGCACCAGCTTGAAAGACTTCCATGAATAATGAGGACAACTTCTAATGTTCACTGAGGCTGAAGAAATCATTTGCCTGGATGTTGGAAGATATGCTTTTGTTTGGAACTTGGTCACTCGGAATATCGCTTACCTTGGAGTTAGGGTGCCAAGTGAATCCGATTTCTTCGTATTCACCAAATCAATGGCCCTGGTGGACGAAACCAATGAACCTATTCAAGTTTAGGATGCCTGCTGATTATGCTGAGGTAAAAATAAAAACCTAAATAGCCACTATCTTTAGTTAACAACTCTGATATATTTGTGCTTCTGCCTGTAATGATTATTGTTTGGCGCCACATCCAAAGATACATAGTCACAGCTGATGGAATAATGTCCCAATCCATGCCATAAATGTCCATCAGTTGGGTACCAAAATGCAACAGAAAACTTGCTTGATTGACCAACAGTGAATTGTAAATCCTACAATATGTTATGCAAAATCAATAGTTAATTATAAAAATATATCTGAATATAGATTATAAAAATGAGATGAAGAATGTAATATTCTTTACTTGAATTATGATCCAACAATTAATTATATTACCAACCAAATATAATTAAATATAAAATTAAACTTGTTAAATATCGGGCAAGCCTCGCGCTTATTCTAAATAATATACATGAAAGAGCAATATATAGTTAAGAAAATATGAGCATATGTATTCTCAATTGTAAACAAATGTATCTTTAAGTAATATTAATAAAGTTCAAAGCAATTCTTTGTTTAAACAATAATCGTAACCATAATTGTTAGTGCAAAATTTCCGTCGAAGAAAAAAAAATCACCAACCTACAATTGCCATAGTAATGCGGAATTTCGTAAATTGCAAATTGAACATGCTTCACATCATAATTAAATCGGTAGAAATCTTAACGGAATAAACTTAAAACACTCACTCAAATTTATTTGTATAACAGGCCACTTTACTAAGTAAAAAATTCATCCGAGGTAGTACCTAATTTTATATCTCTAATTGGCCAATCCTCTCCATCCGGTGAATGCATCAACTTGAAAAAACTTTCCGTGAAGAATGGATCAGGTCATCCAAAACTGCAAAGACTCTAATCTTTCTTTTCAATTAATAGTGCCAAAGAGGGCAGTGAATCGTCTATGATTCTAAACGCCACAAAAGAAAAAGGAAAGGAAAAAGATCTTCTAAAATGTGTTATTAGTATGTAACCGCACTTATTTCACCATTAAAAATTCATACGAATAGATAGTAGGAGAAAATGAGAAGTTTAAAAATAAATATTAGTTTCCATGGTGTGGTTAAATAGAATTTTGGGGGAATAATTATTAATAAATTCATAGGTTGATATTAATGGAGGAGGCGAGTTGATTTTCTTCCTTTCGTTTATATTGAAGAGAGTAACTAAAGACAATAAAAATGAACTTTAATCCTAATATAGAGACCAATTTTATTTTACTATTAGATTTTCATGAAAACAATGCGTTCTGTACTACCAAAAGAGGGGTAAAACTGGCTAATTATATACTTGGATTGGATGCAAGTTTTGTATCTACTAGTTGAATCGAATGTGCTTCGCACGTACACATTATAATTTATTGTCAGTTATTAAAATGTATTATAATTTTCTTAGAATTTTTATACTGGTGTGAGTTTTTGAAGATATAAATTTAAATTGTTTATTTTTCTTAAAATATACTTTAATTTAGTATGAGGATTGCACATGTTTATCCTATATACTTTAATTCAGTTGATCTGAACGCAACTGTTATGAGTACTTTAACACAGATATAATTTTAATTCTGTCAGACATGCAGGTGAGTGAAAATGTTGTGCAGCCTCATTAAGAGCGAGGGCATTTTCTGGACAGGATCCCATTAATACCTTTAGTACTCCTTCTATTCCAAAATATATGTTGTTGGAAGAAAACCAATTTTTTTCAAAATAGATGTCGTTTTCGCATATCTAGGCATATTTTGTCAACTTCTTCCAACATTGCCCTTACAAGAGAAATTGTAATCGTATTTAAAGTAAAAGTGTATTAGAACTAAATGATATTGGAAATAGAATTGTATTGAGAATAAATGAGGGTAATTTAGTATTTTAATCAAATATTTATTATCTCCTTAAACTTTGTGAAACTCCTCCAACGACATATATTTTGGAATGGAGGGAGTACTATAGATATGGTAATTTTACATATGGTTCAAGTGGCGTCATTTCTGTCATGGTGGTATTACATTAATCATTCTTACAGTTGAGTGCATCATTGTTGTAAATATGTTAGTGAATAGGGCAACGCCACAATAAGATGTCAAATAACCAACTGTGTATGTGAGGATTAGAGTCTGTGTCTTTCAATTGCGAGTCCCATTTCTCCATGTTATATTGAGCTCATCAGTTCTAGGAAATGACTTTGTTTGATGACCATTATGTATAAAGTGAGACCTATTTTGGAAAGGCATTATCAAACTTCTGATTTTGCTTGTTTAGGCCATCAGTAATTCACTGTTTAATGTTTAGGACGTGCATGGTGTGTCTGAAAAGTCTTCTAAATTTTCTAGGTTTTATATCATTCGTTGGATTGGGGGGAGCTGTAACTTGCATGTGGGTATCCTTTGGCATACTAATGAATAAAGAATAACTGTTCAAGAGTCTTAATTTTTCAACAACTGCAAAAATGCGGCATTTTTTGGCATTCATTTAATCAATACCTTGTGTTAAAGAATAGTTGTTAGCTTAGATATCCCCTGCAAGTGCGCTACAGAATGATTATGTACATGGAGGATCCAGTATCCACAAAGACCCAAACTTTTAGACAATTCAGAATTGAAAACAACTAACCGTTCGTTGATACACACTTACTGGTCACTGGAAAGCATAATTGTAAGACTTATTCTAAATACTGTTATGAAGTTAGCACTTAACATGTTGTCCTCCAAGGACATAAATTTATAATTTACAACTTTTCCACTTATTCCATGTTTAAAGACTTTATCACTGGTAGAAAATTGGTTTTCACCTCCATTTTTATTCTACAGTAACAGCCGTTATGGACTCTTTTCATTCTTACGTTCTTCTGAGTAGATGGAAAAGCTTATGTTTTTCTCTCAGTTAAGGCAATTGATGGGTTGGTCTACCTCAAACAGTCTGCAGTATTCTTATTTCAGCTGTCTGAAATTGCCGACTAAATGTTTTTGTTTGAGCAAGTTAATTTAGGAAATGTTTTGATTTATACAGTTCCCATTTCAAACATCTTAAATTTCCTTGATTGTAAAGTTAGCTTTGTGTTTAGAAAACTAATTATCTATTGTTATTGTGGGCGCGTAAAGAATTTTCAGCATTTGGTATTCATGAGGTAAATTAATGAGGGTTTTCTATGGTACAGAAATAATAATGGATGCCCTTCTGTAGCATTGATGTTCCAAGTTGGTGACAGTGCTACCTATCACGATGTAAGTAACAACTTCTTCAATGAAATTGGTACAGATGGACTGATTTGTCTTTATTTCTTGGGAAGTTTTGAGTATAACTTTCTTTTGACATAAGAGTGTCCATATAACTTTTCTCTTCTATGATGATCTCTTTGCTAAATAAATAATTATACTTCATGGAACCAGATGGGCGGGTGTAAAGAATCTCCAGGTACATGCAATAGAACGAGTTGCCGTGGATATGAAGTAGACATCACGCACTTCTCCCTTGCAAATGTTGTGCCTGGTCGGTTGTATGGTGGGAATCCGATAGACAACCAGGAGGGTAATGGAGGAGACAGGTAGCTTTTGTTAAGGGATTTTTATTAACTAGTTGGCGGTGGTTGATGATGGCTATTGTGACATAATTTCATTTGTGTTAAACAGGTTCGGCCATTTAGTTGATTTGTATGCTTGGAATCCACACTGCAGGAACCTTGATGGGATTAGTTCTTCAGGTGATTCTTAAGACCCCAGAGTATTTCCTACCTTTTTATCTGGTTGAATAATGCATGACACATGCAGTCTGAAGATATTTCCATGTATCAGACACCTTCAATGAAACATTTGTGAAAACAGAAACTTTTGTCTTCCTCCTGGGTTGAACTACAGTCAATAACACCAATTTGTTTTACTAATAAGAAACGATCACATATTCATGTGACAAGCAATCAGGTTTTTTTGGACCACTCAATAGCAGAGTAGGAATCTGTATATGATGTTTCAGCTGTTTGCTGTATTGAAGCAGTATTAAATATGAAACATGATGGACTTTATGATAAACTTAACCTTTTTGCTTAATCATTTACTTTATCTATCTTCACCGTCTTTCCCTCCTTTTACAGGAAATGACACTGCACAGAATGATTGGAGAGGGTCATGGTGGCACAGCAGTTTTACCACCCATTCAGGTGAATCTTTGAAGACACTTTACATATGAGACCTGATTCCAGGAAGGACATCGACTATTTATAGTATTTATTATTGTGTTGTGATACAAATCAGGCATCACTTGCCCTTGAAGCAAACTTCATGCTTATTGTTTCATATGTATGCTTGTTATTATCCTCTTTACTTTCTCTGTGTTGAATCAGTTCAAATTATTTTTATTTCGATGACTGATTAAACTGACCGTATCATCATTCTTTAAAACGTTCAAAAGTAGACCCAACTGTTTGGTCTGATCCTCAACTCTTCATACTTAAAGATTTGACGTCTAAAATCAATTTCCTTTCATTCATTTTCCTTCTGCTCTTACGCCAAGTTGTTTTAATTCTAGTTCTTGAGTTGATTTTTAGTTTGCATGAGTGTTGACGTGTCGATGCATTCTTATTATTTTTTATAACAGTCGATGCATTTTTAGTTTCCTTATAAGCCTATATTTTCCTGTGTGCGACAGGTTTTGTGGCAGAAGATAGTCCCTATACATCATCTAAACAGAAAGGTAATATTTCTTTGAATTTTCCAGGCCTCTACGAACCATGGATCGTCTTCAGCAAGTTTGGTTTTTACCTATTATTAGTCAAGGATTCATTCAGGCAATACCTGCAATCGTCATTTAGCTTTTTGCATGCATGAATCTATGCTAGCTCTTGGGTAATGCCTTCACAGTGGCTGCATTTAAACACTTGTTACTATAGGCTTTTATTTTCTTGAAATACAAGACCCCAGAAAATCCTAGTAACCAAGTTTATACTGTTGGACTGAAAGGGGTGCACGGAGTATCACTAATTTTTTGACCCTAGGAACTTTCTCATTTGCATTTGTCGTATGATCTGTGACAGTGATCTCAGACATGCTTGCTTTAAAAGGCTATATTTATGATGGACTCCAGCATATGTATGATGTATCTAAGTCACTTAACAACCACCTTGATTTTGCATAATATATAGTAGGATGTACAATTCACTATTGGTCAATCAAGCAAATTTTCTGCTGCATTTTGGTACCCAACTGATGGACATCCATGACATGGATCGGGACATTATTCCATCAGCTGTGACTGGGTATCCTTGGATGTGGCGCCAGGCTCCTCCTCATCACCAGTTAAAGGGACATCAGGAAGTGCTTGGGGTGCAGCCAGTGGGTTCGCTCTCCTCTTTTCCTTTGTTGCTTTTTGTATTTCAGTATTCGTTGGGTATCGGGTTGCTGATAACAAATCAATCCTTCACACCCATGGATCGGCTTTAGATGTTACCCCGAGATGTACCGTCAAATTTTGTTATCTGTTATTGTTCGGGTTTGTATCCGTTTTTCTGAGTAGTTTACAGCCAGTAATAGTGTAGAACATGTAGTTCATTATAGTCAAAATCTTGTCCATTTGTAATTTCCCACCATTTTTATATAGAAAGATTTGGTGCAATTTTGGATCCTGGATTTTCATTCTTTGGTTTTGAACTAGGGTGAGTGTAACATTTTGTAACTGGTGTGTTTCTTTTCGTGTTAAATAAGCAGACGTACTAGCCATGGATTTGGCACTGTTCAGTTTCCCTCAGTTTTGTTCGAATTGGTTCCCATCGCTATATTAGAATATTGCAAATGATGACCTAACATTGGCTTGAAGATTGAGCTAAAGTTGAGGGCCATTTTCACAATTTAAGAATATTCACGAAAACATTTTCAAGGCAAGAAAGAAACGAAAAAAGAGTCAACCAGAAACTTCAAATTCATAAAATAGTATATTGAAATAGTTTGAAATGATACAACAAACTACTTTCAACTTCCACGAACCCTAAAAATGACATTCTAGTAAACTGAAGTTGCCTCGCTGGACTCTGCATCTTCAAGAAATGCGATAATTAATCTTCAAGAAATGCGATAATTAATCGTCCATCTTCCTCCAGGGCAACCTACAAAATTCAATTCCAAAACACAGACAAATGGTCATTAGTCATTACAGGCAAAAGCACAAATATATCAGAGTTGTTAACTAAAGATAGTGGCTATTTAGGTTTTTGAATTTACCTCAGCATAATCAGCAGGCATCCTAAACTTGAATAGGTTCATTGGTTACGTCCACCAGGGCCATTGATTTGGTGAATATGAAGAAATCGGATTCACTTGCCACCCTAACTCCAAGGTACGTGATATTCCGAGTGACCGAATTCCAAACAAAAGCATATCTTCCAACATTCAGGAAAATGATTTCTTTAGCCTCAGTGAACATCAATGGCCTCTCTACACCGATGTCCAATGTAATTGTATAAAGTTTAGTCCAGGAATCTGGGTTCCCGTACTCATTCATTACCCACAAATCCCGATTTTCCCCAACATAAACACCCTCATTGTAAGGACAATAAGATAAAACCCCAAGCAAACCCCTAAACACTCCTAAGAACTCCAAATCACATAATCTTGAAATCCCAGAATCTGAGGGCACAGAAATCTCCCTGAACGATTCATCCCTAAAATCAAACGCTAATATCTTAGCTCTAAAATTTTGCATTTGGTTGTCACCGAATAGCACTTTCCAATGAAGTGATTCGGCAACAAATAATTCTGAAGTTGGGGTAGAAATGTACCAAGGGAAAAACCCTACTTCGATATCCTTCCAGGAATTATTCACAAACGAGTAAAGCTCAACTTTGATATCATGTCCATGTGTTCTACTACAACGAAACTCATTCCTAAACACTCCGTAAGTGAGTCTAACAACCTTAAAATTGCTTTCTTGAGAATGATAGGCAAATCCCAAAAAGACAGTTTTCGCAAGACTTACATTGATTCCCGAAGGCGGAAGTGTCCTATACTTCCAAATGGAAGGATTGCACAGATACAAGTTGAATCCGAAAGATGCCAGTTCAGAAACACAAACCACTCCGCGACAAGAACCAACAACCCTTAGATTCTTCTTCCACCGCTGGAGAGCTGGCGGAATCGTCAATGGAGAATCTATCTCGAAAGTTCTGCCATTCAGCAAGTTGAATGACTGTTGATCAGGACCAGGATGATACCTGAAAAGGAACATTATTTAGAATGCACGGACCTCGCTTGATTTAACGAGTTTACTTTTCTATTCAGGTATATTTGGTTGGTAATATTATTAATTGTTGGAGCATAATTCAGGTAAAAAAATGTTACTTTCTTCATCTCATTTTTATAATTTATATTTAATTAAATTAAAATGTAACAACAAAGTGAACGATTACAGAAGAACAGAAGGAGTGATTGATAGTTGGGTTGGACTTTCATCATTTTCTTCATACGTGCAGCTAAATAAATATCATCAAGATCGAAGATTCTTGATCAGTATCTGAAACCAACCCTTCCTTATCTGATTAATTAACTACATTTCCTCTTTCGTATATTTCAGTAGCATCACTATATATATTCCACCAAGATATCAAGTTTATTTATTTGTTCGTCGGATAGATTTCAATCAAAAAGTTTTGAGGGGTTTTTTTTTCTTTGTAGTGGATTTGGGATGTCATTTGGTGTTTTGAGTCTGACAAAAAGTTAATGTACGAACTTTGATCTTAATCTTAATGACAGTGTTTTAGATCATTAGATAATTAGCATTGTCGAGAAGTTAGAAAACGTATTAATAACAGTGTTTTTTTTAGTATTTTGTTAAAAATCTTCTCATTTGAGTTTCAGCTAAATGCTCAGATACAAATATGCTTTTGTAGTTTTGGGATTGTTTGATCTTTGCACGGCTTACATACACGTGGATCTGGGTCTTCCAGGATGGGCCCTCCCTCCCGAAACTACTAGGGCAACTCTCGATTTTTCGTGAATCAAGTTTGAACTTTGAAAGAATCACCAAAATGTTATGTAAGCTAACACATGATGTATGCATCTTCTCTTTGGTTTTATGAAGCAATCAATAAGCATTACAACAAGTTTATACACTTGTGAAATATAAATTATAAAAATGAGATGAACAAAGTAATATTTTTTACCTGAATTATGCTCCAACAATTATTTTTATTACCAACCAAATATACCAAAATATAAAAATTGGGCGAGCCTCGCGCGTATTAAAAAATATTTAAATGTAAGAACAAAATAAAGTTACAAAAATATGAACATTTTTATATCCTTAATAGTAAACAAATGTATCTTTAAGTAATATTAAAAAACTGCAAAGCGATTTTTTTTAAAAAAAACTGTATTATCAACAATAAATGTTTGTACAAAATTATTGTCGAAGAAGAAAAGTATCCAAACTACAAATGCCATAGTTATGGTAAATTTCGTAAATTGCAAATTGAAGATGGTGTACATCATAATCAAGTCTGTAGAAATATTAATGGAATAAACTTAGAAAGCTCACTCGAATAGTGAGAGGCAGTACCTAATTTCATATTAATATCTCTAATAAGCCAATCCTCTCTATCCGGTAAATGCACCAGCTTGAAAATATTTTCCGTGAATAACGAGTACAGCTTCTAATGTTCACTGAGGCTGAAGAAATCATTTTCCTGGATGTTGGAAGATATGCTTTTGTTTGGAACTTGGTTACTCGGAATATCGCTTACCTTGGAGTTAGGGTGCCAAGTGAATCCGATTTCTTCGTATTCACCAAATCAATGGCCCTGGTGGACGAAACCAATGAACCTATTCAAGTTTAGGATGCCACCTAATTATGCTGAGGTAAATTCAAAAACCTAAATAGCCACTATCTTTAGTTAACAACTCTGATATATTTATGCTTCTGTCTCTAATGATTATTGTCTGGGCGCCACATCCAAGGATACACAGTCATGGGTGATGGAATAATGTCCCGATCCTTGCCATAAATGTCCATCAGTTGGGAACAAAAATGCTGCAGAAAACTTGCTTGATTGACCAAAGTGAATTGTAAATCCTACAATATGTTATGCAAAATCAACAGTTAATTATAAAAATATACCTGAATATAAATTATAAAAATGAGATGAAGAATGTAATATTCTTTACTTGAATTATGATCCAACAATTAATTATATTACCAACCAAATATAATTAAATATAAAATTAAACTTGTTAAATATCGGGCGATCCTCGCGCGTATTCTAAATAATATACATGAAAGAGCAATATATAGTTAAAAAAATATGAGCATATGTATTCTCAATTGTAAACAAATGTTTCTTTAAGTAATATTAATAAAGTTCAAAGCAACTCTTTGTTTAAAAAATAATCGTATTATTAACCATAAATGTTAGTGCAAAATTTCCGTCGAAGAGAAAAAACATCACCAACCTACAATTGCCATAGTAATGCGGAATTTCGTTAATTGCAAATTGAACATGCTGCACATCGGTAGAAATCTTAACGGAATAAACTTAGAATGCTCACTCAAATTTATTTGTATAACAGGTCACTTTACTAAGTAAAAAGTTCATCCGAGGTAATACCTAATTTTATATCTCTAATTGGCCAATCCTCTCCATCCGGTGAATGGATCAGGTCATCCAAAACTGCAACGACTCTAATCTTTCTTTTCAATTAATAGTGCCAAAGAGGGCAGTGAATCGTCTATGATTCTAAACGTCACAAAAGGAAAAGGAAAGGAAAAAGATCTTCTAAAATGTGTTATTAGTATGTAACCGCACTTATTTCACCATTAAAAATTCATACGAATAGATAGTAGG